CAGAAATCAAATATGAAAGCAAGCAACGGTCAAGAGATAGCAAAATCAAAATTATTAATAGAATGATTTTCCATTATAGTAAATCAAGGCCAACTACACTAATTTAGGAGTTGAACGTTGGCTGTAATGTATATATATTCCTATGTTGAACAGATATCAATATAGAGAAATATACAATCTCAGTTTCTCTTTTTTTGAGCCTATTAAGGTTTTTCACGAGAGGTCTTGGTTCTAAACAAATTCTTTTGATTCATTTTCCATTGATGTTGTATATGTTTATTATTTTATCAATGAAATTTCTATTTCCATAAAAAATATGTATATAAGATGTCGCTCTTTAGATGATCTTAAAGACACAGGATTGAGTGATGGAGGAGGGATGTAGTCTGATCGGAAGGCTGGAGAGGCGTGGAGGGAGAAGAGGGTGGGAAGAGCCGTGAGTGGTTGGTTGGTTGGTTGGTTGGCATTGAGGAAAAACTGAGAGGGAGGATGAAGGTTTGATTGGAGAACTTCGGGAGAGGAAAGATTATCATTTCTTACAATACTAAGCCCAAGTTGGTTGTTGGGCTGGAGCTTGTCCAGGTTGAGAGAACGGGAGCTGATATATTGTCTTCATTTGTTTAATTTCTTGATACTGTTTGGATGGGAAGAAAATTTTTATGATTGGAGTGAAATAATTTGTATTTAACTCCTATTAAAACTGATGAGAATTGATATTTTAACCAATTTCATGATTTAGAAGTCTAAAATTAAATTTTATATTTTTAATCAAACCGAACATAAATATGTTAAATTATAAATGAATTTCATATTTTTTTTATGAAATTCTTTTTTTTTTACTACTAAATTACTTATTATCCAAAAATCATATTAGATTCTGATTAATTCAAAGTTAAGTCGTGTCAAATTGTATAAGGAAAAACTCACCTACCGCTTATCTTTTTATTTACAGAACTCAAACTAAAAATCTTATTAAAAGAAAATTAAGATTTTTCTACTCAAACCAATAGAACTTAAGAAATTATATTTTAATTGGTAAAGGAATTTGCTCTCCATTTTATTAATTAAGGTTTGAATCTATAAGAAGACCGATTAAAAATTAATTTTTTTATAAATTTCTTAATTTTAAAGATGAAAATATCTTAACCACTAAATTCAAAAATTAAAGAAATAAATAAAATTTATCTACACCAAGCACACCATAAAAGAAAAACTTTTAAAGTATAATTTTAATGTCAAAGGTGATAACGAATTCAGAAACAGCGTACAAGAACGAGAATTTAAAGAGGGTGGGAGAGTTGGGCAGAAACCGTTGATGCACAATTGGTTGACGCGTGACTTTGAATTTAACAGAAAACTTGCGGCCGTCTGCCTTGTGTGCCTCTTTCTTTGACATTAACATATGACCCATGAAATGTACGTTACAGATCAACCTGATGGAACCTTAATTTAGGGGGGCAAAAAAAAGAAAAGAAAAGATGCTCTTCGTTCTGCAGTAGTCTTCACCCTCAAGTTGTGCATTTATATTCTTTCTGCAACGACTTTTGCTTTACGGCATTCCGCTCACGTTACAACGACTTTATCTTTTAGCACCGGAAAAAACCATTTTGCAGTTTATCTAGCGTGTGTTAAATATATAAATTAATAGGATATATAGGGAAATGAGAAAATCAAAACGTTTCGTTATTAAAAATAATTATAACTATTAAATGTATAAAATATAGTATAAATTTTAATTTTATTAAATTTATTATATAACTATTATTAGATATTTTGATATTTTTAATAATAAAACATTTTAATTTTCCCTTTTCTTAATAGTATGTTAATTATATTTTATGCCCTTTATTTTAGAATAAGAGATGCATTTTGATTCCATATTTATATATATTTAGAATTTATATATTATTTTTATTTATTCTATTCTTAAAAAAATTTTTAAAAAGAGAAATATTATATATGATAAATAATTAAAATTAAAGGATGATAACAAGACCAAAGTAAGAAAAAAAATATTTATCTTCCTTAAAATATGAAAAAAGCAATTATTATTCTGAAATAGAGAAAGTATTTTTTATTAATGAGTTTTTCTAATATGTGTCTTTAAGAATTTATTTATTGCATTTTTTCATTATTAATTTGTACTCTCATTCTTTTTTAATAAATTTTATTTTATTTTTTAATTTTTTGAATATAAATTTTAAATGAAAATTTAACAAATTTTACAAATGATAATTTTTTTTTTTTTATCAAATGAACATACTCAATAGAAACTTCATATAGAAAGAAAAAAATTTTCAATTATTGTTTATATAATCTGTTAAATTTTTATTTAAAATATATATAAAAAGTTAAAAGACCAAACCAACTCTACTAAAAATTCACGAAAGAAGTACGAAAATTTATAAAAGTAAACTTTATTTACAAGACTAATGTAAGTTAAAACAACTTTTTTAATTATTGATAAAACCAAAATCAACCTTTTTTTATTTCAATTAATGATAAAAAAAAAATATAGCAAATACATTATTAAGCTATGTGGAGCACATAGTAGAAATTTTCATAAAACTAATAATAGATTAAATGCTTAGTATTCACGATCTGAAACCAATGAATCCTTTGGCTGAACAAGGCACAATTATTAGGTCTGAAAACATTGTCTGCAAATCTTAGAAACAAGTGTGCCTTTGCTGGCCGGCAGATTAAAAGATGTCCTCTATTTAGCATCACTCTCCCTTGCTACACATGCATGCCTCGTGCTCCTAATGGCTTATCATTATGCCTTAACTTTACAGTGCTCCAACAAACAAGGTGGGACAAATATGCGTTTTTTTTCTTTGTTACACGCGTGTTTAACCATTATAGGTTGAATCTTGACCCCTTAACAACGACTTTTTAAGAAAATAACAAATACCAACTTCCCATTACAAGCACGATCTCTGAAGGCTTGGTTTTACCAAGTCCTAATTAAAATTTTGAGCCGAGCAAGGGCTCTTTCTGGTCCCTTGCGCGGAGCAAGGGACCGACACCCCTACTCCAACGCACCAACTGCTTCTATCCATAAGTAATGGCAGGTGTAAGGAATACCCCAAACAAGGAGAGAAGGTCAACAAGTTATGCTGAGAAAGCAGTTTTGGTAAACTGTCCATTTCAGACAAACAATGACAACTAATTAAGGATAATCTACTAATCTGAACCGAGACCTGCAGAGCTTCTCTCCAGAAGTTCCTCCACAAATTAAATACTGTCTGGTTAAGAAATCAAACGCCATGTCTTAAGAGTTGCTTAAAGACATCGTACTTAGCAGTCCAATGCATGTGTGCATTGACCCCCGTGACTCCTCGTTCTTGGAAACTGTAAATTAATTCTCCAAAGGTGAATCTAATTTTTCATTCTACACAAGCAAATACAAACTTCTATACTAATGATCTGTTGGTGTGAGTAAAAGAAACTCAATTTCTCTTGAATAAAGTTTCAAGTTCGAGTCTTTTGAATGGAAAAATAAACATTAGGAGAGCTTTCCTCAATGATGTCCGACACAACTCAATTCCATTCCAAATTAGTTGGGATACAATATGGTTATCAAATAAGAAAAAAAAAAAAAAAACCTTCTATAAACATTCATAGAGAGTTCTACGAGATGTCCTTTAGAAAAATGGAAATTCTAAACAACAATTGTATGATAAGCATTTGTCTGCAATTTGCAAATACAATCTTAGCAAATTGATCTAAATCTACTGCCTGACATCCTTCAAATCATGAATCTTTTAACTCGACTACTCTTCTGAGCATCACTTGTGCATCATTTATCAAGAATTTGTTTGGAAGTAACCTCAAGAAAGAAAAAGATCTAACAACCATCAGAATAGTTTCACTATCATGATTTGCAGCAAGAAAACGACCTTGATTCATACTGCATTTATCATATAATAGTGTCTTAATCAAGCAGCTGGCAATGCAAACAGACTGCATCGTGTACTAGCATCACGACACTAAATAATTTACAGACTACATGAATGGCACTTCCAAGCCATTCTTTCTCAAAAACAAACTTAAATTACATGAAACTTGAAAGAATAACAAGAATAGAATAGAAGAAGTTACAATCTTGAACATGAGTGAAATGAAAAGAAAATGCAGGCAGGATGCATTTAGTTACAAACCTGTTTATAGGGGTATTTCCCTTCCTAAATCAGCTAAATGTTCATCAAATGCTAAAGAAAACAAGGGAAGACAACATACAAATACACCAAACCCAAAAACAGTAACACCCATATATAAATATCAAAGTCATACTAAATACATCACACAAACCTAATCAGTCAACCTTTGGCACTAGGGCTCTATTTCATTGTATGGAATCTACGCTCTTGCTCAGCTCCTCAAGCTTCTTCATCCTCAACCTCTCACTTTCACCCACCAGCTGTTAATTCAATCAAATGGTATATAATATCAGACACCAAAATCAAGAATTCCGCTTCCAAATCCATGTATCTTTCTATTAAATCAACAGAGTATGTAAAACTAACCTCCATTAATTTGGTGATTAGCTGTACTTTTTCCTTGTTCTTTTCATTAAATGCTTCAAGTGCTTCTTTGTATTCCCTTTCCTGTAGAAAAAGGTAATCTCAGATTTAACAATCCTAATTTCAATCGTTTTTAAGTATAGAAAGAAAAGTTCTTTGAGACTCAAATTCAGTTGAAGTTTCACCTTCTTCTGGCAGGTATGTCCTAATGGCTTCAATTCTTTGTTTACTGTATCGATCTTCTTCCGAACCATCGAAACTTCCTTCCTCATGGGATCCGCTAGTGCTTCAAGTTCCTGATGAATTTTGACAGAATCATTTCAGATCCAGTAACGGTAACAATTTAAAAAATAATGACATTTAAATCCTGAAACAAAAACAATTATTTCTAGCTGTTGTGAAGAAATCAACCTCCAGAAAGGCTTAGAAAAATTCCGCAGACAAGCTGACATGTTTAAAAGACAGAAAATCTCAACAGAACACACCTTTGATCTGTTGATCTAAATTATTTGTTGCAGAAAGACATAAACCCCAAACTTAACCTACAATTTTTTTCATAAATTAGAAACTTCAACAATAAATCTGTCAGAAAAGCCCTTAAATTTCTTCAATCATACGCTTTTAAAGATTTTATTTTTTTCCCAAACAAAAAAAAAAAAGACAAAAAAGGGTTTATCCTGAAAACTAACCAAACCCAGATCAAGATTCTTTATCAAAACCCCATTTGCTGTTTCACACAAATTGACTGAAATAATCAGAGAAAAATGTGAAAAATCCTCCTAATCGGAGAAAACCCTAGTCAAAATCAAGAAATCCCTTGATTTTTCCCTTGAGAAGACATGGTAAAAGCAAAGTTCTTGGCACAAACCTCACGAATGAAGGCCAAACGCTTGGTTTCCTCCTCGACCCGGCCCAACTGAAGCTGAACCTTCTCTCTGACCTCCAATTTCTTCCTCTCAATCTCCTCTTCCTTAGCTCTAAAGGTAGAAAGGGCAGACCTTGACATCTCCTCATCTTCCTTGGACATATGGCTGCTAAAGCTGAGGCTGCCAGAGTTTTGAACCATTAACTGGTTCTGTGGCTGCGGCTGCGGCTGCGGCTGCTGCTCCGTCTGCATCATCTTGGCTCCTTCTTCACCGAAAGGAAAACCCTTCTTCTTCCTTGGACAGCACCCTATATTTGCTTCTGCTTCTTTTTCCCTAGCTCTGCTTTTGCTTTTGCTTTGAAATGATAGCCCCTGCGCTTATTTCTCTCTCTTGTTTCAGCTGTGGGTAAGTGGTTATATACAAGGTTGGCCTTTTATTAAAGCAGAGAAGCGAGGCGATGGCTAGCTTAGCTTTATTTTGTGAACCAGAATATATGTGGAAAAATGAGGGAAAAAGTTTCAAGGTAAAATTCTGGAATATTAATTTTTGTTTGTTCTTGGATACAAGTGGAAATAGAAAATAAATAAAATTAGAGAAAACAAAAGGATCAGCTGAAATGACCCAACTGCCAACCACTAATAAAAGGTTAAACCCCAATTGGAGCCCTCAACTATTATATAAATCGCTAAATTTGTTCTTAAACTTAAAAAATTTTTAATTTAATCCCTGAATTTTTTAAATTGAACTCAAAATTAGTCCTTTTGTTTAAAAAAAAAACTAATATATCTATTACTTAATAGTAACATGTCATATTAGTAACAAAGTACATCAATTGTTTTTGAACAAAAGGACTAACTTAAAGCTAAATTTAAAAATTTTAGAGATTAAATCAAAAACTTTTTTAGCTTAAGGATCAATTCATAAGTTTATATAATAATTGAGAGACTGAATTTGAATTTAACCCTAATAAAAAAGATGAGGGTATTTCAAACTTTATTACACTACTGAATGAAGAGTGTGTGCGTGTCCTTTGAAAATTTAAAACCCATGTCTTGGCAATGATAAATGAAACCCCACATGAAAAACACCACAAAATTTTCAAATTTCTCATTCAATATGTTACTACTATTAAAAGCATCGTTGATTCCATTTAAGTCTTGTAGAATTGTTAAACACGGAGAGGCCTCCTTTTTCTTTTTAATAGTAACTTGGTTAATATTTTGTAATTAGAATTGTAAATTTTTTCTTTTTATTAAAGAATTATTGATAGAAATTTCTATCATATTTTGTGAAATTGAAAAAATCAGAACACTTTAGTAATTAAAACAGTAGGATTGATAATAAAAAGATTAAAATATTTTTAATATATTAACATACACAAAAATTAAGAATATTTAAACAATTTTATTAAAAAATCACATTTAAAATGTCACAACATCATAATTTTCACTTTTCATATGTTTTATATACTTAGGGTCAATTTGGATTAAATATTTTGAGTAGTTTATAACTAATACATAATATTTAATGAGTAGAGATTTATTTATATATAAATCTTACATACTAAACTTATACAAAATCTTAACTATTTATCTTTCGATTTTTAATAATTAAAATTTATCTTAATTTTTTAAATTAAAAAGTATAACCTTTAATAAATATGATAAAAAGTGAATAAATTTTAACCATTAAAAAAGTAGAGATGAATAGTTGAAAATTCTATGTAAATGTAGTGTGTAAAAACTTATGTGCAAGCGGATTGTAACTCATATTTAGTTGTTAATAGTATTTGAATTATAAATAATGAGTATCTTATTTTACAATCTGCCCAATTGTAAAATGAGAGCTATTGGATGGGGATGGGGCCTCAGTATCAAGGGTCCTACTCTCATCCAATAGTAATAATTATGCAATTCAATACAGTTAAAATTATATAATTCTTTTTCTATAAATAATACTCCATCTATTCATTTTTAGTAGTCCTACTTTGACTTTTAAATTTTTTGAATATGAATTTTAGATAAAAATTTTAGATAAAAATTTGACATATTATATATAAAACAAAAATGAAAAATTATGATGCCATAGCATCAAAAATATCAAGAAATTCAATAATAAACACATGATGAATTTGATAAAGTTTAGGTCCACACAATGCCTTACATATTTAACTGCTATGATTGGACATCCTAATATCTTTAATGTTAGAACATCATAATTTTCCCTTCTCATTTATATAAATTATAATTGAAAATTTTTTTTGATCAAATAAAAATTACTTAGTAAGAACTACAAATAAGAAAATAAATTTTTAATTATTGTTCATATAAGTTGTTTTCATCTAAAATTCAAATATAAAAGGTCAAATTTCAAACTAGAATTATTAAAATTGAAGAGAGGAAGTAACAAATTTCAACAATCAAATATTCACTATTTAACTATTTTTTTTACTAAACTCATAGTATTTGAAAGTTATGTTATACCATAATTAATTTAGAATCAAGTTATCTTGAATCTCATAAAGAAAAAAAGTTTTTTTAGTGTCTAATTCTCAATTTTGTAAGATTTAAATTTAAAATTTTATTTAATAAAAACCAAAATTTTTCCGGTGAAATGTACGAGTGGTTGATACTCATTATTTAACCATAAGTTGTTTTTCTTTCCTTAAGCTAGTACAATTGCGGGGATAGAGAATGCAATTGTCAAAAACCCAAAATTTAAATTTTTAAATACTATTACGTATTTTAAAAAGAATTGTAACTATTGATCCACAATTGTAGCTATCTATAAGTTGTTTTAAATGACCAAACTCAACACAGTTTTAATATCTCAGCTTTCTTCCATGTTTTTTTTTTTGAGTCTCTGTACTTTGTGTTCATCGTTGCAATCCGTATTTATGGAGTAGTCGTACTTGACATTAAAAAAAACAAAGTAATGCTCTTTAATTTGCCCCCTGAATTTTATATATTTCGACAAATGCTCCCCAAAAGAAAATTTATTCTTCCGCCACAGAACCAAGGGTTCCACCTTGGATTAATAGTTTCAGTATGGCTTCAAAACTAGAAGAAGTCCTCTAATATCAGTTGTCAAAACTCGAGTCTAAACTCTTATTAATTTTACAACTCTTTTTTCATATAACTTTTAAAAGTTTTAAATTTTTTTATCAAATTTTCAAAAGTTAAATTGATAGTTGTAAATAAACACCATTCACACTCACACCATATCTTCTCAATTTGAGATTAGGGTATCACTTTAATCAAAGATTCGATAAGAAGAAAGAAAAAACTGTAATTTCTTGTCAATAAAATACTTGCTTGTTGCCAAAATGTTGAACCAGAAGAAAAACTTGTGAGACGGGGGGGGATGCAAAAATGGGCCTATATTGACAAGAATTTTGTTTTTATTCAGGTTGGTAGACGGACAACTCCAACCAACACCCTCGGACGTTGCTTCATCCACATTTTGTGACTGACACAAGCACTCTTAATATATTCACAAGAGACATCAATTTTATCAAACATATGTACATATATAATTCTTTCCTCAACCATGCATGAAATAAATTAGCATGCATGTCTCACGGTCGTGTGACCAAATTGATTTGCCAAATAATTGTAGGAGTTTGGTGTAGTATAGGTGAAGTTTTCATATATCCTGAAATTGATCGATGTTATGGCTTTTTCTGCTGAAAAATGGTAAATATATTTAGACAAAATGTACTTCTTAATCCCTAACTTGGGTGACTTTGGAAGGGTAAGGTTACCGTCACATGATTATTTTGCAAAAATCACATAAATTTTGTTTAATTTGACTAGTATTTTATTAATTTATAACTTTTTAAATAATTAATTATAATATCTAAAATATTAATTTATAAATTAATTTTAATTTATTAAATAATAAATATCAATTTTTATATTAATTATCAGTTATTTTAATCATCAAATTAAATACACCTAGTATTTTTAAAATTAATATTATCATATTGTGTGGACTTAATATTATAGCATGTAACCATAACCATACCCATTTTCAAACTATGGGAATTGTTAAAATCAGTCCTCATTTTTAAACAACCATAACTTTTAATAATTAAGACGAGTTACAATCGTCATAAGCACTCGTCTAGAAGTTCATTAAGAACTTTAAACCATTGCTAAATCTTTACATCATTTAAGGGTGTTCGGAGGCTCAAAATCCATTAAAAAAAAGCAGGTTTTGTTCGTTTTAACTGTTAGAAAACAACTGTTTGTTCCTTATCTATAATCAAACAAATAAAATTATTTGAATTATAAATTATTAAATATTAATTATTAATCACA